TGTCTGGGGTTTTGTTGTTTCAATATTATACTGTTTTAATGACCAACATCTTTTTTAAATTTATTATTATTATTATTATTATTTTTATTGGTGAAACATCATGAGGTACAGTTGTAGATCCACAAATTTTTGTGCTTGGGTCTCGATTATACAATGATCAAACACCCATCCCTCCACCAGTGCCCATTTCCACCACCATGGATAATATCCCTTCCACTCCCATTCCCCCCATCCTACCCTGCCTCTGTGGCAGGGCATTCCCTTTTGTTCTCTCTCTCCTTTTGGGTGTTGTGGTCTGAAAAAGAGGCATTGAGTGGCAAACATGTTCAGTCCATAGTCTACTTTCAACATGCATCTTCCCTCCTGGGAGGATCCTCCAAACACCCTTTATTTGGTGTTCCCTTCTCTATCTGAGCTGCCCTTTCCCCTAGAATGCCCGGCTGGCCTCTAAGCTATGGAGTAATCCTCCTGGTGCTGATCTGAGCTATTGTTGGGTATTAATCTCATATTTTGTTACTTTATATCCCCCAGATGAATGCAATCTTTCTATGTCTATCCCTCTTTCTGACTCATTTCGCTTAGCATGATACTTTCCATGTTGTACCACTTGTATGTAAATTTCATGACTTCATCTTTTCTAAGAGCTACATAGTACTCCATTGTGTAGATGTACCAAAGTTTCTTTAACCAGAATGACCAACATCTTGTAGTACAATTTATTTTATTTTTTTTTCAGTGTAAAACTTATTTTATTTATTTATTTATTTATTTTAAATTTATTTATTTATTGAATCACTGTGGGAAAAGTTACAGAGCTTTCGGGTTTAGGTCTCAGTCATGTAAATATCAAACACATTTCCCTTTACCAATACTTATTTTTAACCCCGAACCCCAATAGACCCCCACCTCCCCCCACCCCTCCCAATTCTTGTGAGGCAGATGAGTTCTAGTTAATACTCTATCTACTTTGACTAGATAGATTGTTTTGATAGAAGATGCACAATTATTGTTTAGAGTTTACGACCCACCCCCCACAATCAGATATGCTGAAACAGCGTTGTGAAATGATTTGCTTTCTTCAACTTGGTTTAAGGATAAAATGATGTCGCGCGGCCACAATAGCGGCCGCGCGGTTTTGAATTTCTGCTATTTTACTTATTGACCCTGGAAGAATTTCTATTAAAAGTTAGATAGTTAAGAGATTGGTTTCTGTGCCCGTGCGGCCACCATCTTTCTTTCCAGAGAGGAGCGGGCGGGCCGGTCAACACCCTTTCCCCTCCGGGCAGGCTTGGTGGCGCTGTTTAACACATTGTCCATTTGCTTTTCTGCTCCAAGCGGCTGGTTCTCTGTGCTAAGTCCTTGTGCCTCCGGGGCCGTGGCCGTGCCGGAGAGCCGCTCGTGGGGGGCAGCCGGCGACCTCGGTGGGGCGTGGGGGACGGCCCACAAAGCCCCCCTTCCCATGAGGTCCCCGCCGCTCCCGCCAAGCCCGTCTCAAACCGGCTGTCCACAAGGCTCCCGTGCGGCCGCCATCTTTCTTTCTTTCTTTCTTTATTTTTTAATAATTTATTTCTTTATTGAATCACTGTGGGAAAAGTTACAGAGCTTTCGGGTTTAGGTCTCAGTCATGTAAGTATCAAACACATTTCCCTTTACCAATACTTATTTTTAACCATGAACCCCAATAGAACCCCACCTCCCACCCCTCCCAATTCCTGTGTGGCAGATGAGTTCTAGTTAATACTCTATCTACTTTGACTAGATACATTGTTTCGATAGAAGATGCACAATTATTGTTTAGAGTTTATGACCCCCCCCCCGAATTAGATATGCTGAAACAGCGTTGTGAAATGATTTGCTTTCTACAGCTTGGTTTAAGAATAAAATGATGTTTTGGATTTCTGCTGTTTTACTTATTAACCCTGGAAGTATTTCTATTAAAAGTTAGATAGTTAAGAGATTGGTTTCTGTGCTCTGGAGTCGTGGCTGTGCCGTTGTAGTACAATTTAAACTTAGTGAACGTAACTTTACTTTTTTTTTTTTTCAGTATTGCTTTGGCTACTCGGAGTCTTTTGTGTTGTATATTTTGTTTTGTTTGTATTTTTATTTTGCGATGACACCCAGTGGTGCTCAGGGCTCTGTGCTCAGGGATCTCTCCCCTTTGGGGCTTGGGGACCATAGGTGGTGCTGGAATGGAACCTGCATCAGCCACAGGTAAGGCAAATATCCTACCCTCTGTGTAATCACTCCAGCCTCACTTCTGTTTTGCTTTTAGGCTACATCTGGCTGTAGCCTTAAAAGTTCCTGATTTGTATTTCTTAACTTCTTTGCTTATTATTTTATATTCTTATTCCTTTCTACTATTTGCTTCCCATTGACAACATTATGAATACATTTGATATGAATCTTTGTTATTCTAAACTATGCACTAGTATTTTAATGCATGTATTTTAATTTATGTAAGTGAAATTGTGTTATACGCTTTATTTATCTAGGTTTGTTTGCCCTTTTTATTTGCATATATCTAGCTCAGTATTTCCAGTGAGTTTCCTAAATTGTCTCCTATTTCTTGCAACTTGAAATAACATGCCGGGAACATTTCTATGGATCCATAAAAGATGGTTTGGCTCCTGTAGTCTGAATGTTTACCCACCTCAATTCATATGTTGAATTAATAAACATGAAGTATATGATATTAGTAGAAATAGCCTTTGAAAATTTCAATTTTATTTCATTTTATTTTGGGGCCACACCCTGTGGTGCTCAGAACTTACTCCTGGCTCTGCACTCAGAGATTGTGGGAATTAATTTCCCTAGTGACCCGCCACCCCATAAGATAAAATATGCCCTTAGGTAAGATAGTAGAATAGATAATAGAATGCAAAGTGCTTGCAAAAATGCTCCCAGGAAAGAATAATGTAGCATGAAAGAATAAACAACAAATATCTGCCTGCTGCAAAAATGTGCCAGACAAGCATAGATTAAGACAATTTAGGGTCTTTTAGATATAAGACACTCCCCTTAGATATGGAAAAACTTAGTGTGGTTATGTTAATATAGGCAAATGACTGCAAATGATTGCCTTGTTCTTCCGATGATTGTTGGTTTAAGGCAATAAATATGGAATGTGGTGGAGAATCATGGTTCTCAGTCTATGAGGTTGTGAGTCTCTGACCCATAATTTTCTCTCTTACGTCTGTCTTGCTTTCTCAATCTTCATGGTGCCCCTGCTTTAGACCTTGGGCATCCTACCCACTGTAATTACTTATTTTGGTTTTGGGGGCAAAATTTGGTGCTCAAGGGCTTCCTCCTGTTACTCCCGGCAGACCTCTGAGCACCCTATGAGCTGTGGGACAGAACATCTGTTGTTAATATACTACAATTTCCTGACACAGTTTGCTTTTTTTCCCCATGAACTTAATGGTGGCTATGGTGGCTTTTTTTTTTTTGTCACATTTGGTTATGCTCAGGACTTACTTTTAACTCTGTGCTCAGAACCATTCCTGGTATGGCTCAAGGGACCAGGGAACTAACCCAAGTTGGTTTGTGCAAGGAAAAGGGATGGTTATTTTAAATGATTACAGAGTGTTCCCTGTAAACTTATCCTTTTACCTTATCATTCATTCTTAAGATGCTTCTTAAGGACTGAAATTGATCATAGCTTCCTTCTCCTATTAAAGAATATCCTCAGGGCAGTTGTGCATTAATGTTCTCAAAAGAATTACCTCATATTCAAGGCCTTTGATGATAGTTGGCATAATAAATCAAATTAGAAAGCTATAGCAAAATCTTTTCCCGCACGGCAAAACCTGGCTAGCTATTCGTGATGTATTCGATATGCCAAACACAGTAACAACAAATCTCACGATGGAGACGTTACTGGGCCTGCTTCAGCAAATCGATGAACAATGGGAGGACAGCGCTAGTAAAATCTTTTAATCAACTTAGCAAAAAAAAAATACAGTTATTATAAGCTAATGTTGTCTTCGGTATTATATGAGTCAAGACACTAAGATGAAAATTGACAAGTCTACATAATATCTAAGCAAAGACAATGCAAATAATTGCAAAAAAAAGGTTAAGATTTTTTCCATGTCCACAACTTTTGTGTCAGGGTGGGGTGGGGGGCAGTCTCCTAAGCAATGCTCAGAGGATCTGGTCACTCGTGGCAATACTTGGCCAACTAACCAGCAATTCAAACTAGAGGCTGAAGCTAAATTGCTGTTTGAATCTTGTGTTGCGGACCACCAGGACAATGTCAGCAGAGTTTATAGGTCTCCAGAGTGATACCTGGATGCCATATGATGCTGAAACTCAAACCAGGGTCAGGTAGAAGTGCCCTTATACTTGCACTATCTCTCAGGCACAAGAACAGAGCTTTTCAAATGTGTGTTTTTTTTTCCTTTTTGGGTCACACCTGGTGATGCACAGGGGTTACTCCTGGCTCATGCACTCAGGTATTACTCCTGGCAGTACTCGGGGGACCATATGGGATGCTGAGAATCGAAACCGGGTTGGTTGCATGCAAGGCAAATGCCCTACCTGCTGTGCTATCACTGCAGCACCTCAAATGTGTTTCTGGACACTGAATTTTTTAATGAAAAAAAAAAAAGAGAAAACTTAGAAAGTTTAAAGCAAACTTCGTGATCTCCATATGGTAGAGGAAATAGAAATGTAATAATGCCACCATTCTTATTTTGCAAATATAATATCAGAGCTATCATAGCACAGCGGTAGGGTGTTTGCCTTGCACGCAGCCAACATGGCTGATCCGAGTTCGATTCCTCCGCCCCTCTTGGAGAGCCCGGCAAGCTACCGAGAGTATCTCGCTCGCACGGCAGAGCCTGGCAAGCTCCCCGTGACATATTTGATATGCCAGACACAGTAACAACAAAGTCTCCAATGGAGACGTTACTGGGCCCGCTCGAGCAAATCGATGAACAACGGGAGGGCCTTTAACTTTACCTTAATATCAGAGCAAATATGGTTAGAGTTCTGCTCACCAGGACTCCCTCCATGTGGAAAAGCCTGGAATCTTGGTCCCTGGATAGGATGAGGTGGATAGAGAACATTTGTATCCCAGCTCCCGATGCGAATAAAAGCTGTATACCTGTTCCTCTGATAACTGCTAAGACGTAGATTATATCTCACCTATAAGGAGTAATTAAAAAACAAAAAAATCATATAGAAAAATAACTAGAGTGAAACAAGAGGTTAAAGTACAATTCTGAACATGTAATGTTGAGGCTGAATGATCAGTATGAACACAGACGCTAAACATCAGGAGTACGAAGACTACTGTGGGATTTCATAAGTAAACAGATCACAACCCCCACACTGCTATAAACCTACATTTTATCATTTAAAAAACACTTTTGGGTTACACACAGTGATGCTTCAAACTTACTTCTGGTCCTCTGTGCTCAGGGCCCCATGTGGGGTACCAGGTATGCCAGATATCAAATTTAGATTGGCCACATGCAAGGCAAGTGCCCTATCTGCTGTGCTCTTGCTCTGGCCTCTGCAAACTTATTTTTAAATCAAAATACCGGTACACATATTAACATGAAAGTATACCCAAAGGCATCATTAAATAATCTTCCCATTATGTCACTCAGTTAAAACTAGGAGGGAAATCTCTCTTTTTTTAAAAGTGATTTAAAAAAATCCCACCCTCTTACATCAATGAAAATATATCTAGAGGATCCAACTGGGGGCAGCACAGTTGCAGGGGTGGGGTGGAGCAGTGGTGGCTCTTCCAGCTCTGAGCAGCAGGACGTAAGGGCACAAAAACTCTGCATATTTTCGTGAGAATGAATGTAAATGTAGTTTCTTTTCTTCATTTTTTAAAAGCGCTTTTCAAGCCCAGCCCAGTGCCCAGAACTGCTTTTGTGCCCAAGTTTTTGCCATGAGCAGCCAGATCAGGCAGCCGGATGATCCCAGGGACTCGCTGTCAGCCTGGCACCTGTACCAGGATTGAAGTCACGCCAAGCCTGATGTCTACACTGCTGCTCCCAGGACTCAGAGCACTGGCATCTGAGCTGCAGTCATCAGAGGCGTGTCTCAGGGGAAGAGCTCCTCCAAATCCTTCAGCTCTGACTACCTGGAGACCAGACCCGAGGACAAGGGTGAATGCCACTAGGCCAGGCCCTATTGGAACAGCAGCCACCCACCCGTATCACAGAGCTGCTCCAGCCCAGCCCTGCCCCAGCCCAGGGCCTGGTCCTTGTCCCAGTCCTGGCGGTGTCCACCACTGCCACCCCCAAGACTGCCTGGGCAGAGGGCAAAGCACAGCTTATGGGTCAACCTGTCAGGCCAAAGCAGAGGTGACCTGAGGGCACCCTAGGGTTCCTGATTACCCAAAGCTACCACCATGGCTACGGCTGGACTTCAACAACTGGGGACCGAGTTCATCGAGAAATTATTCTGCCAAAAATATAGGTATGCGGGTCTTTGTGACTGCAATCACCAGGCTCTCTGGGATGGAATTCCAGTTGGACTACTTGCCCCCACTTCCCTGTACTTCTAGAATTCTGGCAGTCATGCAATAAACCACCTATGATGTCACGTAAGCTCGTCTATCCATCCTGTTCCAGAGATCCATAAATTAATCTCGATAGAGATCAACCAGGCACAAAAAGGGTTGAGTGACCTGATTATGGCTGACCAACTCAGGATGTCCTGGAGGAGGGTTGGGATGGGCAGTGCCCTCCTAGACAGAGCATTGGCAGTCCTGCTAAATTCTCCACTCCAAAGTCACTACTATGCCTCTGGCAAGTGTGGAACATTGTATGAACGATACCCAATGATGAACAACATTTTTTAAAAAAATTTTTTTAGTGAAACACCATGAGGTACAGTTGTACACCTACAAGTTTTTGTGCTTGGGTTTCAGTTATACAATGATTGAGTACCCATCCCTCCACCAGTGCCCATTCTCCACAACCAATGATTCCAGGATGCCTCCAACCTCCTCATTCCCCCCATCCAACCCCGCCTCTGTGGCAGGGCATCCCCTTTTGTTCTCTCTCTCCTTTTGGGTGCTGTGGTTTGCAGAAGAGGCACTGAGTGGCAATCATGTTCCGTCTATAGTCCACCTTCAGCATGAATCTCCCATCCTGGAAGGATTCTCCCAACACTCTTTACTTAGTGCTCCCTTCTCTATCTGAGCTGCCTTTTCCCCCAGCACGTGCAGTTGGTCTCCAAGCCATGGAGTAAACCTCCTGGTACTAATCTCAGCCATTCTTGGGTGTTAGTCTTCTATTTTGTTACTTTATATTCCCCAGATGAATGCAATCTTTCTATATCTGTCCCTCACTTTCTGGCTCATTTCACTCTGCATGATACTTTCCATGTAGTACCACTTGTATGCAAATTTCATGACTTCATCTTTTCTGGCAAGCTACCCATGACGTATTCGAATGCCAAACACAGTAATAAGAAGTCTCAAAATGGAGATGTTACTGGGTCCGCTTGAGCAAAATCGATGAACAGTGGGAGGACATTTTTTCTAACTGCTGCATAGTACTCCATTGTGTAGATGTAACCAAAGTTTCTTTAACCAGTCATTTATTCTTGGGCACTAGGGTTTTTTCCAGGTTTTGGCTATTGTGAACAGTGCAGCAATGAACATAGAAGTGAAGATGTCATTTCGACTATGCTTTTTTGCCTCTCCGGGATATATTCTGAGGAGTGGTATTGCTGGGTCAAATGGGGGTTCAATTTCTAATTTTTGAGAATCGTCCATACTGTTTTCCAAAATGGCTGAACCAGTTGGCATTCCCACCAGCAGTGAAGGAGGGTCCCTTTCTCGCCACATCCACCCCAACACCAGTTACTATTGTTCTTTTGGATGTGGACCAGTCTCTGTGGTGTGAAATGATATCTCATTGTTGTTTTGATGTGCATCTCCCTGATGATTAGTGATTTAGAGCATTTTCTCATGTGCCTTTTAGCCATTTGGATTTCTTCTTTGCGAAAGTATCTGTTCATTTCGTTACCCCACTTTTTGATGGGGTTGGATGTTTTCTTCTGGTGGAGTTCAACCAGTACTTTGTATATCCTTGATATCAACCCCTTGTCGGATGTGTATTGGGAGAATATCCTTTCCCATTCTGTAGACTGCCTTTGTATTTTGGTCACTGTTTCTTTTGAGGTGCAGAAGCTTCTTAGTTTAACATAGTCCCATTTTTTATCTCTGTTTTCACTTGCTTGGCCAGTGGCATGACATCTTTGAAGACACCATTAGCTTCAATGTTGTGAAGGGTTTTGCCAACTTTGTCTTCAATGTACCTTATGGATTCCGGTCTGATGTTGAGGTCTTTAATCCATTTTGTTCTTACATTTGTACGTGGTGTTAGGTAGAGATCTGAGCCCATTTTTCTTTTCCTTGTAGCCATCCAGTTTTGCCAGCACAATTTGTTAAAGAGGCTTTCCTTGCTCCATTTTACATTTCTTGCTCCCTTATCAAAGATTAGATGATCATATGTTTGTGGGGAGATGTCAGTATATTTAACCTTGTTCCATTGGTCTGCAGCCTTGCCTTTGTTCCAGTACCATGCTGTTTTAACTATTACTGCTGTGTAGTAGAGTTTGAAGTTACTGTCACTGTCACTGTCCTCCTGTTTTTCATCAATTTGCTTGAGCGGGCCCAGTAATGTCTTCATTGTGACAATTGTTACTGTATTTGGCATATCGAATATGTCACGGGTAGCTTGCCAGGCTTTGCAGTGTGGGCGAGATACTCTCAGTAGCTTGCCGGGCTCTGCGAGAGGGGCAGAGGAATCGAACTCAGGTCGGCCATGTTGGCCGCTTGCAAGGCAAATACCCTATCTGCTGTGCTATCGCTCCAGCCCACAGTTTGAAGTTAGGATGGTTGATTCCTCCCATTTCTTTTTCCCAAGAATTGCTTTAGCTATTTGTGGGTGCTTATTGTACCATATGAATTTCAGGGGTGTTTGCTCCATTTCTTTGAAGGATGTCATGGGTATCATTATAGGGATCACATTGAATTTGTACAATGCTTTAGGGAGTATTGCCATTTTGACAATGTTAATTCTACCGATCCATGAGCAGAGGATACCTCTCCATTTTCTCATGTCCTCTTTTATTTCCTAAAGTAGCATTTTATAGTTTTCTTTGTACAGGTATTTTACTTCCTTAGTTAAGATGATTCCTAGATATTTGATTTTCTGGGGCACAATTGTGAACGGGATGTTTTTTTCATGTCACTTTCTTCTCCCTCATTATTTGCATATAGGAAAGCCATGGGCATCTGCTAATAGTGATAGCTTGATATCTTTCTTACCTACCTGAATGCCCTTAATATCTTTTTCTTGCATAACTGCTATTGCAAGTACTTCAAGTACTATATTGAACAGCAGTGGAGAGAGTGGGCATCCTTTTCTCGTCCCTGATCTTAAAGAGAAGGCTCTCAGTTTTTCCTCTTGATGATGTTTGCCGTAGGCTTGTGGTAGATGGCTTTAGCTATATTGACGAAAGTCCCTTCTATACCCATTTTGGCGAGGGTTTTTATCATAAACGGGTGCTGGATTTTGTCAAATGCTTTCTCTGCATCTATTGATATCATATGGTTTTTATCTTTTCTTTTGTTGATATAATGAATTATGTTGATTGATTTCCGATTGTTAAACCATCCTTGCATCCCCAGGATGAATCACACTAGGTCACTCATCATGATCTTTTTGATGAGTGGTTGAATTCTGTTTGCTAGTATTTTATTGAGAATCTTCGTATCTGTGTTCATCAGGGATATCGGCCTGTAGTTTTATTTTCTTGTGATGTCTTTGTTTCCTTTTGGTATATAGAGATATGGACTTCATAGAAACTGTTTGGGAGAGTTTGTGTTTCTTCCTGGAAAAGCTTGAGGAGAACTGGCAATAGGTCCTCTTTAAATGTTTGGAAAAATTCGCTACTGAATCCATTTGAACCTGGGCTTTTGTTTTTGGGAAGAATTTTGATTACAGTTTTAATTTCCTTAATGTTCATAGGCCTGTTCTGGTATTCTAGATCTTCTTGATTCAGCCTTGGGAGATTAAAGGAATCCAGGAATTTATTCATTTCTTCTAGATTCTCTTCTTTCATGGCATACAGACTTTCAAAGTAGTCTCTGATGATCTTTTGAATTTATTTGGTTTCTGTTGTGATATCCCCCTTCTAATTTCTGATTCGGTTTATTAGGTTTCTCTCTCTCTCTCTCTCTCTCTCTCTCTCTCTCTCTCTCTCTTTCTCTTTCTTTGTGAGTCTTGCTAGTGTTTTATCTATATTACTTATTTTCTCAAAGAACTAGTTCTTGGATTCACTGATCTTTCAAATTTTTTTTTTAGGTTTCCATGTCATTGATTTCCGCTCTAAGTTTTACAATCTCTTTCCTACTGCCTGATTTGGGCTCCTTCTGTTGATCCTTTTCTAAGATCTTGAGCTGTGAAGTCAAGCTGTTTATGTGGGCCCTTTCTTTCCTCCTGAGAAATGCATGCAGAGCTATAAATTTTCCCCTTAATATGGCTTTAGCTGCATCTCATAGGTTTTGGTAGCTCGTGTCTTCATTCTCATTTGTTTCCAGGTATCTTTTGATTTTGTCTTTGACTTCCTTACTGACCCACTCATTGTTCAAAAATGAGTTGTTTAATTTCCAGGTGTTTGATTTGGTTCTCCTTGTGTGTGATTCACTTCTATCTTCAGTGCATCGTGGTCTGAAAAGATTGTTGATACTATTTCTATCTTCTTGATCCTACTGAGGTATGTTTTGTGGCCTAGCACATGGTCTATTTTGGAAAATGTT